CATGAAGACCCACCGCCAGTTCAAGTATTAGAATATTTGAAGAGAGAAAGCATAATTAATAACACTTCCCCGATGCTCTATGTAGGGTTATTTAATTTACTTTGTAGATAAAAATGGATCTGATTTAATTATTTTTATTATTTTTTAAGCTGATGGATATTTTTATCTGTAGAATTAAAATGAAAATTGCATTTTAAAAATAAAAATCAATATGCCTATATTTTGCTTTTAGATTGATAGAGTCATAATCAAATTAAAGCAGAAGTTGGTGCCAAAACCGGTTTGGCTCAGTGGATGGAGCGTCGGCCTGCGGACTGAAAGGTTCATGCCTATATTTTGCTTTTAGATTGATAGAGTCATAATCAAATTAAAGCAGAAGTTGGCAAACCTTTTCTGTAAAGGTGCAGCTATTAAATGTTTTCAACATCGTAGGCCAAATTGTCTGTTGCAACTACACACTTTGCTGTTTCAGTACAAAAGCAGCTATGGGCATATGTAATGAATGCCGCTGGCTGCCTGCCAGTTAGACAATTTACAGACACTGAAATCTGCATTGTAATTAATTTTCACCGGTTATAAAATATTTATCTTTGGATTAAATTTAAAAAATTATGGTCTCACCCAGCCAGCGTGGCTCAGTGATTGAGCATCAACCTATGAACCAGGAGGTCACGTTTCAATTCCCAGTCAGGGCACATGCCTGGGTTGCTGGCTTGATCCCCAGTGTGGGGAGTGCAGGAGGCAGCTGATCAATGATTCTCTCTCATCATTGATATTTCTATCTCTCGCTTCCTCTCTGAAATCAATAAAAAAAAAATACAGTCTCTACAAAAACAGGTGGGGAGCAAATTTGGTCCATGAGCTACAGTTGCCGACCCTGCATTAGAGATATTATAAAACAGTCAGGTTTTTCCCAAGGCCATGGGCTGCTTTTCTCAGCTGTCCATAGTTCTGATCAGGGTGGAGGGGAGGAGTGTCTTGTTTTGTTGGAATGAAGAGGTTTCCTTACACATTAGAAAAACTTCCAAGGTGGAGGTGGAAGAGGGCATAGAGAGGATGAATGGTGATGGAGAAAGAAATAAACAAAGCAGCCCGGCCTCAGTGGCTCAGTGGTTGAGGAGATCACGTTTCAATTCCCAGTCAGGGCACATCCCCAGGTTGCAGGCTCGATCCGCAGTAGGGGGCGTGCAAGAAGCAGCTGATCAATGATTCTCACTATTGATGTCTCTATCTCTCCCTCTCTGAAGTAAAAAAATATGTATTTAAAAAAACACACAAAAAACTTCCAGTAGTGATTCTCAAACTGGCTTGCATCTGGATCACCTGAGAGTTTGCTAAAATGCAGATTAAGGGCCCGCACCCCGAGTTTCTGGTTCAGTACATCCACGTGGGGCCCAAGCACTTGCATTTTAAGCAGGTGAGGCAGCTGCTGTTCTGGGCCAGCACTTTGAGAGCCGCCGGTTTAGAGCTGCGGGTGCCCAGCACTGTGGGAACAACAGGTGGCCCTACAGTAACTATTGGCTTTGCTGCCTCGATGATTTCTGTGAGAATCCGAAATTCTAATAGTTCGCGACCAAAGGTAATTTGGACCAAATGTATAACTTCCCCATCTATTGTAATATTTTTCTGCCATCAATTTCTGTTTTAAACACCTAAGAACTAGAGATTGTTTTACAACAATGTTGGGGAAAGATGTGTACCTAGGAGAATTATAAATAAAGGGATATATATTATTATGTATAGTATATATTATGAAAACATGTAATTATATATGTAATAGGTACCTTGTATCAGTTTTTATTTTTTAATGTTTTTATTGGTTTCAGAGAGAGGGAGAGAGGGTTAGAAACATCAATGATGAGAGAGAATCATTGATTGGCTGCCTCCTGCACACTCCCTTCTGGGAATGGAGCCTGAAACCTGGCACATGCCCTAACCAGAAATCAAACCTTGAACCTATGACTTCTTGTTCATGGGTCTACACTGAATCACTGAGCCACACGGGCCTGGCTGATTTAATATTTTGACATTTGAATTTTTACAGCTATTTCCTTTCTTGCTGTGCCTTCTCTTTTCACATTTTTTATTATGGGTAAAAGTTTTAAATTTTATTGTAGCTTAATTTAGAAAATTTTGCCCTTGTGATTTGGGGAGGGTTTTTTTTATGGGTATCTTGTTTAGAAAATTCCCTTCTTTGAGGTCATGAAGACGTCTCCTATATTTTCTTCTAAAAGTATTGAGTTTTAAAAAATTTCTTTAAAAGTTTCATTGTTCTTACTCTTGAGTCTTTAGTCCAGCTAGAAATAACTTTTGTTTATGGTGTGAAGTGTGAATCCATTGTTTTCTATCTGGATGACTAGTGTCTTAATACTTTGGCAGTCCATCCCTCCCCCACTGATGGCATTGCCATTTCTTTCCTGTGTCAAGGGAGCACATGTTCCATGGCCAAGTTGTCTACCCCTGTGTCCATACCCTTCTGTCTTAGTTCCTGTATCCTTAGCTTTCTGTGAGCCCTAATGACCGATAGAGCTTTCTTTAAAAGTCTCTCCAGCTTGTTTCGATAATAACTCCACGTTAGTTTGGGCTCTTTGTTCTTCTACATAAATTTTAGAATTCCTACATTGTATGAGAAAAAAAGACTTTTGGTTTGAGATGTATTAATAGACTAATTTGGGAGGAAGTTACATCTGTTTAATATTAAATATTCCTGGTCATGAATATGTTAATTTTCTCTACTTATTGATGTCTCCCTTAATGCCTTTCAGTAAAGTTTAACATTTTCCATTAAGGTAATAATATTTTTTGTTAGGTTTTTTATTAAGCATCTCATTCTTTACTATCTTTTAAGAGTTACATTTCAAAACTCCTGGTGGCTGGCGTGTAGAAATGAAATAGATTTTTGTTTGCTTAAATTCAGGAACCTTGCTAAACTCTTATTGTTTCTAAGCATTTGTGAAGTCTTTTGGGCTTTCTACAAGAATAGTCATCTCCTGCAAATAATGACAGTTGTCAGTCTTCCGCAATCCATAGACCATTGGCTTCTTTTCCTTATCTTTTCGAATTGACAGAAACATTCAGTGCAATGTTTGCAATGTTCGACATAAGTGGCCTCTCCTTTCTGATTTAAGAGGAATGCTTCTAACATTTCCAACATTAGCCACTACGTTTGCTGTGGGTGTTCTGTACCTGCCCTTTATCGGGTTAATGAAACGTCCTGTTATATACATTTGCCTGTTCTGGTGGAGGTTTTTTGTTTTGTTTCATTTGTGAGTTGTGTGTGTTTTTTTTTTAAATAAAAAGGTTTAAAATTTGTCAAATGTAACGTCTTGTGTATAGTGAGATCATGTGTATGTGCCTTTTGTTTGTAACTTATTGGATCAGATAAGTAGATTTTCTACTATTAAACCAAGTTGGCGGGCCTGGGCTCACCTGATGTAGGATCTAACCTGTGGCTTGGTGCTCCTCCAATCCTGAGCCGCTGTGCTGAGAATATGCTGCTCACCTGATTCCTGTGTATCTCCCCCTCACTCCCCTTCAAGGGCTGTCTTCAACCAAGTAGTTTTAGTCTCGTGGCGCCATCTGGTGGCAAACTTTGGAAATTTCTGACTTGATGTTCACCTCCTTCTCAAGGAAATGGAGTTTCCTGGGTTATCACTGTATTCTATTTTCTTTCTGGTACCTTACGTTTATCACCTCACTCTCCTTTCTCTTGATCTCCATGTAAGTCATTCACATGTCCTTCCTTTGCTCTTTCTCCCTTCGTTCCTCAGTTATGAACATAAATCAACCTCAGTTACAGTTAATCATGGTGACTAAGGAAAAATACAGTAATACCTTTTTAAATGACATTTGATAAGATGAAGTGCCAGCTCTGATAACCTTCCAAGTCCTCAAAATACTTCAAAGTCCCTTTAAAATGTTCTTAAATTTCCAGCACTACTTAGTCATCTAATTAATTTTGCCCAGTATAACATTAAGCCAAAGTATCAAAGAAAAATTATAATAGTGTTAATATGTTTCATTGTTTCTATCTTCCTTTATTACTGGCCCGGACAAATTTGCATTTCACTGCAAAGACTCAGTTTTTCATTATGGGTGACACTGCCGGGAAACCGAACTGCCCTCTATAGCATGGTTTCCATGGGCAACAGCCCACCGCAGGCGCTCTTGTGACACATAACTGATTTATAAGATAGAAATCGCCAGTCGCTGACTTTCTGCTTGTTGAACCCTCAGCATGAAAATACTGTGAGCAATGCTCTTCCCACTCAGAGGGCTGGCCTTGGCTCCCCGTGGCTGGGGTAGCGGTTGCTTTGTGGAGTTAACGGTGACTGTCCTGGGGTCTCAGGGCTGTATCTGAGAATGGCTGGTGAGTCAGCTGGAGAAGACAGACCAGAGAAAGGAGGGCTGACCCTGATCTCCTGAGCCGACCTGGCTGCAGGAGAGGTTGCTTTTATTGTTTGTTTGTCTTCCGCCACACCAGGCTTTTAGTTGGCAGGTGGAGGGTAGGGAGCATTTGCTTATTCCAGGATAGCAACTGTTGACTTCAAAGCAGGCCCCACAGAGTATCTTGGGTCCGTAAGTCTGATCGGTGTTTAAAAGACATTTTTAAAGGGCCCGCTAACCAAGAGAACTGCAGATAACATATACGCTCACTCTCAAGCAGTATTCTAATACTTACAAAGCTTTGATGTGTATGGCTTTGAGATCCATTACTCTTGTGAAACGGAATAGTTTATGTAGAGTTGCTACAATTGTTAGAATGCTAACGTCTATTTAAAAGGAAGGTTTAATGTTACTTTTATTTTTATATTGTAATAATGGGAGATTCAATAGTGGATTGGAAAAAAGATTAAGAAGGAGATTATATTGGCAATTTGGTTACCAAGAGGCCCTCCCCAATCCAGGGTGACCCGTCCTCCTGGCATTCCGTACTACTTGGCTTCCTTCTGTGTTCTTTTGCTAAATGCTTTCTAACCTCTTGATGTCTCTTTTGAAAGGTGGGGACCCAAACTGTATGCATTCTTCCAGATCCGTTCTTGCCAAAACAGCATAAAGCAAATGTAACAGGAAGAAGGCTCCCTCCTTCACGAGGTAAGTGCGAGTAGCAGCTGCGGCCAGGGCCAGCCCACCTTCCCATTAGACCTGCCACATCTGTTTACCGCCAAGATGCTAGGACTCCACAGTATCGGAATTCTCAGTCAAAGGACCTGACTCAGAGCAACGCTACCATTACAGCATCTAATTCCACCCCTTCCAGATCTTTCTCAATTACTTTTATCTCTTGGGCTCTTTGCCAGTCAAAAACATCTTCTTCCAATTTAATAATTTTGAGGTCAGATAGTTTATCTTACTATTATTTTTGTTGTTGTTAATTCTCACCTGAGGATATTTTTCCCAGTGATTTTTAGAGAATGTAAGGGAAGAAGGGAGGAAGAGAGAGAGAGAGAGAGAGAGAGAGAGAGAGAGAGAGAGACTTCAATGTGAAAGAGACATATCGATTGGTTGCCTCCCACACATGCCCCAACCAGGGCCAGGAATCAAACCTACGAATGAACCTTCCATGCGCAGGCCAGTGCTCTAACCACTGAGAAACACAGGCTAGGGCCAGATAGTTTATTCAACTGAGATTTTACTTATAATCCTGGTGAAGTGCTGCCTGATTGCACCCGCTGCTTTAGACTGTTCTCTTACCGGTGTGAAGGAACACCCTTGATGGGGAGTATTATGGTGCGAGCTCACACATAGGCCACTTGTGTGCTGCTGTTGGTTTTTCTCTTAAGAAAATATTTAGATATACTTAAAAATGAAGGGCCACACATATATATTGAGTAGACGAATTCCAGAACTGCTTCACAAGCCAGGTTACTATTATGCATTGATCTCAATTTGGAAGTGTTTAAAAATCATTGATCAACGTGATTACCATGACAGGAGCTTGTTTTACAATTCATTAACTTCTTTGACAGACACTGTGTTGGCTCATCCCTTTCTAAATAAAACCACAGCGATGCAGTTTATCTAGGAGATCTTGAATGGTTCTTTTGAGTTCCTTCAGCTTGCTGATTCAGCCCCCCCATGGTTTGTGATTGGTAAAATCCCCCAAATTAAAATTTGCCTGATGTCTTGCAGTTTTTCCTCACTGACTTTTATCCGATAATGGTTTTGCTTTCTAGAGCAAAGACTTCAAGTGAGTTTGACTCCATCCTGTTGCTGTCAGAAGTAGGAAAGTAAATTTTCTGAATGACTCACCGGAAAAGTCAAGATCAAATGACAGAGATTTGGAGTTATCCAGAGATGAATTTATCAAAGGATCACAGAGTTGGCACAGAGTGGGCAGCCTCAGAAGTGCTGGGCCCCTCCCTCCACAAGTGATCATAATGTCACTGACCCAAGAGAAAGGACAGGGACTTCTCAGTGATTTTCTGGTCCTTCTCCTCCAGATTTTGGGCTTTCTCCATCAAACTCTCATCCTGCCTTTTTGTGGCCTGTGGGATTGTGGTGATGAGAAATCAGGGGGCCATCTAAAGGCACAGACAAGCTAGAGCTGGTGGTTTCTCCAGCGACAGGATGCCCTGTAGCCTCGGGTACCAGGCTCTGCAGCCTGGTGTATTCAGACCCACAGGCTTCTTGCTCGCAACCTGCAGGCCTTGTCCTTTCTCTGAGCGCGAGGCTGACTTCAGCTCAGGAGGTTGTTAGATCTGAAGACACTCTCTCCTGGACCCCGGGGCTGGGGAGTGGCCTGATGAGGGTAAGATGGAGCTGGTGTAAATTCAGTGAGCTCACCCCCTGGGCACACATACCCCCTGGGCTGTTCTGTGACATCTCTTGTGATTTACATCATAAAGGTTTATATGACTGACGTGAAAGGAAGTGTGTTTATACCGGGATCTCATATCCACATCCAGATTCTGGACCTGCAGGTTGCAAGATCCAAGTTAGGTTCCCTTTGAAACCAAACATCATGCTAGCCTGGCTGAGCTCAGAGGGCAGAGTCTCTGGCCCACCCTGGTTTGGGAGCAATCTGTAAGTCATGGTGTTGCACCCATTCGCCTTCGTAATTCCACAGTGAACGCTAACAGCTACTTATGACCTGTGGAGAGGTTTTCGGGGTCTCATGCCCATTTCAACCCTATTATGGTAATATTTGTCTCATTGTCTTCTTTCTTAACTTTCCTGTTCCCTTTCGATGTCTTCCTGCAGGTCCCTGGCATCTGACATATGGCGAGCTTTGGGATACAGACTTACCAAGACATGCCTGATGTTCTGAATGTGAATACCCCCCACCCAAAGCCAGAATCTCAGCTGGATGGGCACGTGTCCTGAAACCAGGGCTCTTACAGAGGGTTCTCTCCACATCTCAGTTTACTGTTGGTTTCCCTTTCTTGTTTTCCTCTCTCTCTCCACACCCCTCTCAGCTGCCTTTCCTAGGGACACAGCTTGGAAAGATGGGCCGGGACTGGAGGACTCTGCATTGCTCCCGGCAGCCCCGAGCCAGCGTCTACTGCATCCCATCTCCAAAGCACCGTGCCCCAGGCACGCCAGAAGGCACCAGCTTTTGAGAGCCCACTTTTTCTCTGCATGACTAGCTTGTAAGGAGAGAGAGAGAGAGAGAGAAAATTTCCAAGAATTTTCCACTTTTTCAACAGCTCTGATTACTTGCTGCCATCTGTGAAATCTGGAGACACTGATGCAACATTCCTCTTCCTGTCTGGGCTGTTTGTATAATTGTATATAAATGTAGCAATAAATCTATTCTAACATCAGCCGGGCACTACTTTCCACTCGATTCTGCATGGTGATGGCACGCGTGCATATCGCGTTCTCAAGGCACTGCCCTATTGCCCCATCTCAGGTTCTCACCTTCTCTGATTTCACAAAGTGTTAGTTTGAGTTGGCCCGGGTGTGGAGAAAGAAGGTTGGGGAGTCTGGTGGCAGAACTGGGACACGAAGCAGCATGATTAATTCACTAGGTGGCACTATCCCTGGCACTCCGAGGTGGCTTGAATGTCCGGGACTGAAGCTCAGAGGATTGGGTGACAGTCTGAGACATGAGTCAGCTATTTTTGTAATCACTCTTACATCCTCCAAGAATGCATTGCACGGCCATTATGTGGCCAGTGCTTACCTGCTGGGCACAAGGATACCCATTAAAGACTTTCAGAGAAACTACAGAGATGGATAATTCAATATCACATTGGCAGATTTTGTGTAGTTTCTCTGAAAGTCTTTAAGGGGTATCTTTGTGCCCAGCAGGTAAGCACCTGCCACATAATGGCCCCACAATGCATTCTTGAAGGATGTAAGAGTGATTACAAAACTAGCTGACTCATGTCACAATGTGGTACTGAATTTTCCATCTGAACCTGATGTTTTCCAAGAATACTGAGTCTGGCTGTTTTAGAAACTGTCCTCCTACAGGGGACACATAAGCCAATAACCTTTCGTTTGGCAGAACTAACGTTGTTTGTTTAATATTAAAGACTGTTGGTTCCCAACGTAGTCTCATAATTTATTTGAAGTCTTTGGTTAGCAGGCACTGCTATCACTTAAAAAACCCTTTGTTGTGGTTTCTTATCAAATGCTGTCTCTCAGGTCTCTCCTCCTCCTGCCAAAGGCCTGGGAGCACCGTGGAGCCAGAGGCGTGTGCTAGGGCAGGGCTCGGAGGCAGCACTTGCAACACTACCTTTTATGTATTAAAACATACAGACCGGAAGCACTTGACGAAGTCACCTGGTTGAGCCCTTAGGGCCACTGATCAGATAACTATCTGAAAGATGCATCATGCCAGGTCTAGTCTCACTTTCACCTTTTAATAGACCCGCGGCTCAGGCTCCAAAGATAAAGTGGCACAGTGTGGGCTGCTGCCTTCCACAGCAAACGCCCATGGGACACACCCTCCTCTACACAGATGTTTCTGGCAGAACTGGTGCCACAGGGAGAAATCATTTTAAAAGATACATGACAGCCCTGGCTGGTTTGGCTCAGTGGATAGAGCCTCGGCCTGAGGACCAAAGGGTCCCAGGTTCGATTCCAGTCAAGGGCACATGCCCGGGTTGCGGGCTCAATCCCTGGTGGGGAGCGTGCAGAAGGCAGCAGATCAATGATTCTCTCTCATCATTGATGTTTCTCTCTCTCCCTCTCCCTTCCTCTCTGAAATCAATAAAAATATATTTAAAATAAAAAATAAAAGAAGAGACATGACAAAGAATCAGTTGCTTCTGGTGATAGTGTGATACAAGATGAGCCCACTGTGGGTAGTGCTGTTCAGTGGGGCCTTGACTTACGAGTTTAATTCGTTCCGAGACTTAAATTACTCTGTCAACTCAAAGCAAAAAATTGGCCAGAGACAGGTGGCATCTCAAAAAACTCGTTAGTCGGGACACTCGTAAGTCAAGGCCCCACTGTATCAGCAACGGTTCATGAGCTTGTCTGCGGAGCTGAGGGTGTGCAACCTGTGGCCTTAAACCTGGATGTAGGCTGTGGTTCTGCCACTAATTAGAGGTTAAACCAGGACACATCACTCCCGCTCTCCCGGCCTCTGATTCGTTGGCTGGAACACAAAGCGTTTGGACTCAATGATTTCTAAGGTTCTTGTTCCTTGAGTCTCTCCGGTGGGAAAGGGGAGGGAGAGGCATACTTTTTAACGCTAAAAAGCAAGGTCACAGGATGGCCAACATGGGCAACAGAGAGGCAGGACACCGGTGTGAAGGCCACTGATTTTCAGGTACCAAGATGCATGAAGAGGGGACACGTCAGAGCAGCAACAGGCCAGCCCCCTCTGGGAGACAATCTATTGGGCTTTCCCTGTGCACATCTGTCCACTGGATTTCTTCTTGGGGTGCCTTCCACCGAGGGCAGGCAGCAGGACAAACCGGTGGACACTGAAACCTCAAAATAAGAGTCCACTTCTCTTCCTGAGCTGCCCAGCCCACCCACAGGCCTCACTGCGAAGAGCGCCCCAGG